CACGGTGTCGCGGGGAGTCTTCCCCCCACTGGTCATTTTTTCGCGTGTATCGCGAAAAGCACCGCGACCGCTAGGTGGCCAGCCGCGAATCGTTTTTCTCGTAATTATAATGGGCTCCCGCGACTATAATAAAGGACAGCGAGAAAGAAACGACGGCATGCTTCCGATTCACATGTATGGTCCTTACCTATACGTTGAAAGCGGAAACATGCTCACATTTTTATGTTAGGGAATAGCAAGTTGGTTTCATACCCGCGCCCCTAACTGTCCCATTTTGGGAACCTCTATTGATGATCCCATTTTTGAGAAGCAGTTCACTGCTGACCACCGATGACACACGCCATGTCCCTCGCCCTGATAGGTGCTCACCATGGTGATATCTCGATGGAAGCTTCCGTCCCAGACCCAATAGGTGCCCCAACCCCTGAATGCCCCACACACTACACTGAATGTCCCAGACCCTGGAGTGCCCTGACCCCTGAACACACTCCATACCCCAAAAATGCCACACACCACTAGGTATCCAAGATCTAGTGGAGTGCCCCATATCCCCAAAACACTACACACTAATTGCCCAAAATCCAGTGGAGTTTCCCAGGACTTCTGAATGCCCCACATCCCTAAATGCTCCACACCACAAATTGACAGATATTATTACGTGTATTAAATACTAATGTACATGTATACCATTAATTGCAGATGCTTGTATCCTGTGAATGTAGAAATGTTTGACAATTATGTAAAAACACTTTGAATCTATATTAATATTATTATGAAAGAAAAAAAAAATGAAAAACATAACGTGGAAAAAGAATTTCCAAATTCATGATTTATGTATGTGGGAATTTTAGGCTGGGAAAATTAGAAGTCTAGGGAAATTCTAGTGAAATTCTATGAAGTAGTAAAATTTGAAAATTTGGAAAATAACATAACGTCTGTAATATCAGAATTTTGAAATATTCTCATTCCCATAATTAATTTCCCCAAAACTGTGTGCTCCTACCCTAATTTAATAAAATACCCTTACATCACCCTATTTTACTCCACAAACCCTATCTCTAAATCCTTAACTCTAACCCCAGTATATTAAAATTAGAACAACCCATACACTCTATTCTCCAAAACTATTTCAACCCAATTTTCTCCAGCACCTAAAATTTGCACCCACCATATCCAACCACCCCATCTCAAGAAACCAACTTGTCGAAGTCTTAACACAGATCTCCAGCGCAATCCAATCATCCCCTCAGCATACAAGGTGCCAAGTGATCCGACAAGCGTTGAAACCCAATCGTTCTTGCGTCCTTTCCCGAAGAGGCAGAAATCGAAACCTTTCTCGCGTCTGTTGAAATTTGTTCGTCCCGCGCGTGGGCGCGTACCAAGGTTCGTTTGCTCTCGACTTTTTCGCCGTTTCTTTTTCTCTTCTTCTCGGTCGCATCAGAGGAGCCTGGCACAAGGTTGCGACGTCCCTTCTGCGGGCCGAGCATAAGTTATACGCGTATTATGCGGCTGCCGTGCAGCCGGCAGCATCACGAAACGGTAACACGAGAAACCGGACCCCTCTTCTTCTTCTTCTTCTTCTTCTTCGTCCACGCTCGCGTGCACGCTTGTGGGTGTAGGAAGTTGCGCTGCTACCTCGAAGACGGCTCGTTTCGTCGATTTCCACCGCGATAAAATCCGCTACCGCGCCACTGTTCCATGCGAACACGCCTAATCCTCGTAAAAATGTCCGCGATCGGACAAACGAAACCTCTACCCCCGTGGAGAGACGTCCATGGGACTCCCATTACACGGTGCCTCCCTAATTTGGAGCTTTCGGACCCGTTTCCGGTCCGCCATTGTTCCGCGGATGTCTGATAAGCGTGACATGTTGAGGGAACAAAAGGGTTGTCATGGGGTTGCTATCTATGGGTGGAAATGATGGTGTTTGTGTACATTGAAGGGTATGTTCGTTTTATGAATCGTCGTAATTAGCTTGCAAGAATTTTTGGATAATTTATAATTTGCAGGACCGTAGAAATTTTTGGAAATTTCGGAATTGAATTGTTGTAATTTAAATGCGAAAATTTGATGAATATTTAAATTGAAATTGTCATCTCTAGGTTTTGGAGCAATATTTGTAGATCTAACTATCTTTGTGCTCAGATGTTACTGGATATAAAAAATTGATAAGTACGGTATTCCTAGATATATTTCTGGATCGCAGTATCTCTAAATTTCAATATTTCCAGGTTACTTAAATATCCCTAGATTTCAATTTACCTCGACTTAAATATCCTTATATCTAAATATACCACAAATTAAATATCCCTAGATCTCAATACATTCCGAACTAAATATCCCTATTTCTCAGTACATTTCAATTGAAATATCCCTAGATCTCAATATACCTCGAATTAAATATCCCTAGATCTTAGTACACCTCAATTCAAATATTCCTAAATCTCAGTATACCCCTACTGAAATATCCCTAGATATCAATACATCCTAATTTAAATGTCCCTAAATCTCAATACACCCTGAATTAAATATCTCTAGATCGCAGTACTTCTCAATTTAAATATCCCTAGATCTCAATACACCCCAATTTAAATATCCCTAGATCTCAGTACATCCCGAATATCCCTAAATATCCCTAGATATCAAACCATCCTAATATAAATATCCCTTGATTTCAATATACTCGACTAAAATACGCCCTAGATATCAATACACCCCAATTTAAATATCCCTAGATTTCAATTCATTCCAACTGGAATATCCCTAGATCACAATCCTATAACAATTACAATCCAACTAAAATTAAGTATTAAGCTAACAGTCTACTCTGAAAAGAATCCCAAAGCAATTGAATGTCTTATGAATTTCATAATCACACGACGAGAAAGTTCATCAACATACAAACGATCGATAAAGTACGCCTAAGTGATATTTAAATAACCAATTCGATATCATTAACCGAACGTTTTTTGCTTCCGATAATATCCGATCATTCATTGAACCGTTTAATCGAGAGGACACGCACGTGTCCCCGTGTAAGTGTGTTCATAGTCAGGTTACAAAACTATAGAAGATAAATGGACCCCTTGTCAAGACGGTGTTTTATTGGACGGCCGTCTCTCTATCAAACTAATGGTCTTTTCATTAAACATTCCCAAGCTTTATCTTGGACCTATTAATTTACATTCTATCGTGAGATCCTTCACAGCCACTGGCCGCGTGCCTAACAGTTAATCACCAGTTATTGGAATCGCATTTGCCTTTGGAAATCGAAGGTTTTCGTCGATTTAATTTATCGTTATTCGATGTAGGTTTCGCGGTTTGACCGAGAAAGGAAGTATTCGGATTCTTTTTGACTTAGGTCATTTTCGGTTCACTGATCGCTGGTTTCAATGGGTAAACATTGGGCAACGTAAATGGCATTTGGTAGGAATGTTTTAACGATGTTGGTTATCGATTCTTTGTAAATCAATAGAACATTGACAGCTATTAATTGCTGCAATGTAATTATAATATTCATAGTAGTATTTTTATTTTTGTAATAATTGCTTGAAATTATGCGAAGAATTCGTGTCACTACATATTTTTGGTAAAGGTTATATCCAATAAAAGGAGACCTTGCCAAAGCAATGTAAAGGTAATTTTAGAATATCAAGATCTAGAACATTTGGAATTATGAATATTTAGATATCTAAGAATTTAAGTACTTTTAAATATAGAAATTTGTAAGTTGGGAAGATGAAAAATTAGAGAATTGAAGAATTGAAGAATTGAAGACTTGTAGATTTGAAGAATGGAAGAATTGCAAGATTGAAGAATTGAAGAATTGAAGAATTGAAGAATTGAAGAATGGAAGAATTGAAGATTGAAGAATTGAGGAATTGAGGAATTGAGGAATTGAGGAATTGAGGAATTGAGGAATTGAGGAATTGAGGAACTGAGGAATTGGGAAATTGGAGAATTGGAGAATTGAAGAATTGGAGAATTGAAGAATTGGAGAATTGGAGAATTGGAGAATTGGAGAATTGGAGAATTGGAGAATTGGAGAATTGGAGAATTGGAGAATTGGAGAATTGGAGAATTGGAGAATTGGAGAATTGGAGAATTGGAGAATTGGAGAATTGGAGAATTGGAGAATTGGAGAATTGGAGAATTGGAGAATTGGAGAATTGGAGAATTGGAGAATTGGAGAATTGGAGAATTGGAGAATTGGAGAATTGGAGAATTGGAGAATTGGAGAATTGGAGAATTGGAGAATTGGAGAATTGGAGAATTGGAGAATTGGAGAATTGGAGAATTGGAGAATTGGAGAATTGGAGAATTGGAGAATTGGAGAATTGGAGAATTGGAGAATTGGAGAATTGGAGAATTGGAGAATTGGAGAATTGGAGAATTGGAGAATTGGAGAATTGGAGAATTGGAGAATTGGAGAATTGGAGAATTGGAGAAATTGAAAAATTGAAAAATTGAAAAATTGAAAAATCGAAAAATTGACAAATTAAAATCTCCCAAAATCACAAACCAAAAAATTGAAGAACTGAAACTTCAAAAATCCAAACATTCTAAAATTCAATAACTCAAACATTAAGAAATCCGAAAATACGAAAAATCCAAAACTAAAAATATCATCAATTTCCTAAAACATCCCATTACACGGTATTCAGAAAATTTCACCTATCCTAAGTCCTCCGTATTCTCAGTACCATATGCATCCACAACATCCAAACACATCCGAGTAAAAAAAATATTAAAACGAATTGCGAGCAAGTACACGGTACCCAGTCCGCGATCGTAGATCTCGCAAAGAGCGTATGCATCGTTGTTGATCGTCGAGGGGGCATAGAAACTCGCATCCATTATCGCGTGTACGCCGGTAAAAGGTTCGTAGTCTCGTTTTGGAGCGCGTTCGTGCGGTTTGGAGCGCGGCAGGGCCAGAAGCAGCGGTGAACGGTGGGTCGCAATAAATAGCGGGCTGGGCCCGGTGACAGGACAATCCTTACCTACTACGACCACGTGGCCGAAGACCTGATCGTTCGCCACGTGGGAACAGTTCCAACGGTGATGTCTGAACTGATGCCGGCACTCGCGAAGACCCAGCTCCGCACCCTCGCCCACAGCTGGCATCGCGTGCGGCGCTTTTCTGCACTGCTCCCGTTGACTCTTCGCCAGACCGGGAATACGACCGCAAACGGCCGCGCCGACCACCACAGCACCGACCACCCTGTAATCATATTCGTCAATATACTGTAATTGCAGAATAAGATATTTGTGAAATTCGAGTGGTTTATTTTTGGAGGAGAGATAATGTCAATAATCATGTTACTGTAATCATGTTACACGTGTATTGGAATTGTGAACTGTGAAGTATTGAGATAATTATAGGTGGTCGTGGTGTTTCCAATATGGAGGGGAAAATAGAGAAGTTTATAAATTTTATTATAGGGGGAAAAATTAAATTATAGGGGGAAAATAGAGAAGTTTATAAATTTTATTTGGATTGATTGCTATGTGGATAGGGTTGATGGGTTTGGAATTAAGTAAAGGATCAAGTTACCATATTAACACATCACAAAATTACATAAATTACCAAGTTATCAAGTTATCAAAGTTTATAAATTTTATTATAGGGGGAAAAATTAAATTATAGGGGGAAAATAGAGAAGTTTATAAATTTTATTATAGGGGGAAAAATTAAATTATAGGGGGAAAATAGAGAAGTTTATAAATTTTATTATAGGGGGAAAAATTAAATTATAGGGGGAAAATAGAGAAGTTTATAAATTTTATTATAGGGGGAAAAATTAAATTATAGGGGGAAAATAGAGAAGTTTATAAATTTTATTATAGGGGGAAAAATTAAATTATAGGGGGAAAATAGAGAAGTTTATAAATTTTATTTGGATTGATTGCTATGTGGATAGGGTTGATGGGTTTGGAATTAAGTAAAGGATCAAGTTACCATATTAACACATCACAAAATTACATAAATTACCAAGTTATCAAGTTATCAAATTACTAAATTACTAAATTACTAAATTACTAAATTACCAAATTACTAAATCACTAAGATACTAAGGTAGCAAGTCATCAAGTTATCAATTTACCAATTTACCAATTTACCAAATTACTAAGGTACTAAGGTACCAAATCATCAAGTTACCAAGTTATCAAGTTATCAATTACCAAGTTACCAAGTTACCAAATTATCAAGTTACCAATTTACTAAATTACCAAGTTAATATATTACTGAGATATCAAATTACCAATTTATCAATTTACCAAGTTATCAAATTATCAAATTATCAAATTACCAAATTACCAAGTTACCAAGTTACTAAGTTACCAAACTATCAAGTTATCAATGTACTAAATTACCAAGTTATCATATTACTGAGGTACCAAATTACCAAGTTATATAGTAACCAAGTTATCAATTTACCAAGGTATCAAATTTCCAAGTTACCAAATTATCAATTTACCAATTGACCAAATTGCAAAGTGATCAAATTACAAAGTTATAGAATTACCAAGTTATAAAATTACCATGTTATCAAGTTACCAAGTCATTAAATGATCAAATTATCAATTTACCAAGTTACCAAAGTACCATCTCACAAAATACCCAAGTTATCAAATTAAAAAATTTTCAATTTCTCAATTTCCAATCCTAAATTTCCCAAATATTGAATCTCCCAAATTTCCAAATTCTCTAATTTCAAAATCTCCATTTTACCTAGATAATTCCTAGTCCTCTAAAAAGATACTAAAGAACATTAAATTTAGCTAAAAGTTTGTAGTACTATGACTTCACAATATGCTTAAGTTAATAAATTAGTATTCATACTCCTCCATGAGAAAATTAACCATCGTTCAAAAATAACATTAAAAAAACCTCTGAGAGATTAAAAATAAATGACCTCGAGCAAAGTAATATATAATTCCATAATTTTCCCATATTTTACACCTGTCTCGCCATAATTAGCCCATGGAAGCGTTATTAATGTCTCTCCTTTAAAAGAATCTTACTATGTAGAAAATCGTAAATCAAAATTAATATCCGCAGCATAAACCGAACTACCTTTACAGATTTAATGCTCTGCCCAATTATGAATATATCAGAAACATTTTTTCTAATTAAATATTCCTCGTACATATATCCTCGAATCAATTTCCTGATATTCTTAAATCAATTTCCAAGAAATTAATTTCTCTAGGATTTATTTCTTCCAAAATATCAACCGTTTAATTAATGTATCAACTACCTCTTCTTGAAATTCTACGCGCATAAATCTCTTGGTACATGATGAATGTTAGGAATAAAATTCATAATTTCTAGCATCCATCATAACAAACACCATAAATTTCCTGGAGAATGTACACTCGGGAACCTTTCGCCGTGTATAACTCTATCGAAACAATCTCAGAATATAATTCGGAAAGTCATCACCTACTCAGGTTTCTTGGGTACACGAGTTTCATTTTCATTTCGTTTCGCTCACAATTAATCTGACATCCGACGTCCTCATGAATATTTCGATTTTCATGCTACTATCTGTAACTGCAAAATTTCATAAAACTACGTACCGATGTCAACCCACGAGTTGGCGCGTGAGGCGGACCCAGGTGTTCAGAGCAGCGGCTCCGATTGGTCGGAATAGAAAAATGGACGCCACACGTATTTTCGGCGGTATGGCTCGAGCGGTCGCACAATTAGGCCAAAAACAATTACAGGCAAACGTCTCGAGAGTGAGATAGTGCTACCTGCGTTCATCAGTTGTTATTGTCATTATTATTCTTATTCGCCGAAATGTAACTGGAAGTGTTCACGGCGGGCTTCTTTTACTTTGGGTCGACGTCAACTCGTGTTTGTATCTGTACTTTCAAGTGGATTTATAATTCTTGTGTTTAATATTAATTTCGTTTCAATTTATATAAATCGAAGTTTAATCGAGTAAAGTGAACGGGAAATCGAAATGTAATTCGAAGTGTTCACAGTGGTCTTTAGGTCGCCAACTGTTGACATCTGTAATTATTTGGAATATCGTGCAGAATCGTTTAACATCGAGATCGGTAGTGGATCCATCGACGAATTAAATCTCGATAAATTCGAACGTGTGAAAGTATGGACGAGCTTGTCGACGAGGCCGGAGCCGAGCGAGACTCGGTCATTAGCATTTTAAGTTCCCTGTTGTCGTTGTTGTCGTATTACTTCGATTCCGGTGGTACATACGTTATGCATCGTGCATGCGACGCCATGCCAAGAAATTAACGACGCCTCCATCTTTTTATACCGTGTGTTCGGCCAGCATTTTCTCCTTCGCAGATGCTTCTTCGCAACCGGTTCGCAAAAACTCGACGATTATTCGCTGATGACGGGTCGAATTTTCTAGTTACTGGATTTTCTAATTTACATGTTAAACCATCCTTCGACTTGTAAATTTATTAATTTTTGAATTTGGGAATTTTTAATTTTGCAAACTTTCACGTTTGTGGGTTTGTTATTCTCAAATTTTATATTTTCTAATTTTTTTGCTGGATTTTTAAATTTCTAAATTTGCTAGTTAGAAGTATTCCTATTTGCAAGTTATCAGACTGAAGAGTTCTCCAGTTGGTTATTTCCAGATTTCCACATTATCCAGTTTTCCCTAAATTTCCAAATTTCTGTATTTTTACATGCTTGAATTAAATTCTTGAATTTCTCTCTTTCCAAATTTCTACATTCTCAAATCTTCAAATACCATTCTTGAATACTTCTAATCCCCCATTTCCAAGTCTTCAAATTCCACTGTTTCCAAATTCTCAAATTTCTCTATTTTCAAATCCCCTCTGCACCTATCAAAAATTCCCAACACTATAAATCCCAACAACCCCATACAAAAATCCACTTTTTCCAAGAAATGAATAAGCTTGAAAAATAACTAGAAACCTGTCTCACAACCCTCCGCTTTCTACCGATAAATCCCAACTTTTCATCAACGCGCGTTTGCATAAGTACAAAATTAATAACACCCGATCAAGAGAAAGACATCGAGCCAAAAACCGATTAACTCGGTTTATTCGATTTATTTCCTACGAAAGCTTGACGTAGCTGACAATCACAGTTTCCAAGTCGGTCCTCTTACGATGGAAACCGACTCTAATCTAATTTAACCGTCCATCGAACCGAAATGTTTCACCGTGTATTATATAATCCGGGCGCACGTTTCGTATTAAAAGTTTTATGCCCATCCGTCATCCGGATGGACCCTCGTTTCGACATCTTCACGAGACAACCTGCGAGACACGATCACGGCATACTAAAAGCGATTACCTGCCGACAACCTGAAACGTGATACTCTCAACCTCCTACTGGTCCATTGCGTAATTTACATCCCATAAGTCAACCTTTTCATGGCGGTGAACAGGCTTTTCGGAAACCGTGGACGCACGCCGCGGTATACCCGAATACCTCCCCTGGATTTTCTTTGATGGGTAACGAACATTTCGAATTTATAGAGATTTAGGACTTTATGTTAAACCTGGGATAGTTTTGGGATACGGAGAAATGTTTTAGAGGAAAGTTATAGGCGGAGATTGAGGTTGCTCATCATATGAGGTAGCTTCATTCTATGTGAATCTGGTAGGATGTGAAGTTTTTTGAATAATTAAGGAATTTTATATTTTTAACGCAATATGCACTTTGTTATTTTGTATGGAAATGTACACGTGTGTATCTAAGTTTTCTATTTAGGCGTAGAAGTCACTTATGGCGGAATTATTTGTTCTCGGATGTAAGATCAAATATCATTGGATATTGAGTTGGTTGATTGAAGAGGATCGCCCTTTGTAACATATTCGACTTCTAAAGTTAAATATTTTAGCATGTTATTTGCAGTAAAATGATGTGTACTTTGCCACATATGATTTATCACTTATGACTTATCACTTATGGTGTATCAATGACGTATCACTTATGGCGGAAATTATTTGTTTCCTATTATTAGATCAAATGTCAGTGGATGTGGAGTGAGCTGATCTAAATGGATTACTCTTTGTAATATAATCAAATTTTAAACTTAACTATCTGAGAATGTTAGGATGTGGATTTTACTACATCATTTCTTGTAAAATATTACATATGTATTTGTAAAAGTTCATAGCCCACATTTTTTAGACACTGTCCATATTCATTTCTGAATTTGGGTGTTATTTTTGAAGTTTTGGTATCTGCACACATATATG